TTTCAGAAACCTCAGCAAGTGTCACCTCCAGTTCATTAGCTCTGATAGAGTTACCAGTTCATTTCTGAGCCAACCACTGAGGCAAGGGGGGATTAATATCCTAGTGGGTTTAAACCATGAGGATCCACTCCTAGAGCTATGAGTGGCTGAAATCGAGGAGGGCTCCATCAGGAAATCAGGAAATTGATGTTGGGAGAAGTGGTAACATGGATGCTGGGGAGGCGACTGACAGATGTCTACCATAATGCTTAACAGGTCTGCAGTTCAGTTTCCTTTGAATCTTGCTACTGTTGTTGAGGACAGCCAATGTTACAGCAATCATTAGCATGATTATGCCCAAACAACTGTTCTATTTTTAAACGATACACAAATTATTATGCTCCATCACATTATTTCAGTGATCAACTTTAAAGGGCCCTGGCTTACCTCCTCCAGGAATAACAAAGCAGTCACAGGGGTTCTTTGGGCCACTCCAAAAACCACTGCAGAGCGGTTTGCCACACATAATAGAGGGTGCATTTGAAAAGTAGTGTGCAATGACTAGTTCTGGTTGAAGACTTTTGTGTTTTTCAAAAGCTCAATGAGCAGCAGAAGTGACCACAATGTGTTTGAAACTTTATAGCACACGTCTTCAGGAGACAAAGTGCCTAAAACTAGATGGGAAGACTTATAATTTTTTAAATTAAAAACTGTAGACAGGAGAGGTAACAAAGTAAAATAAGCATGAATCCTACGTTCTTGTTTCAAAAATAAAACCTGGGGCATGGGAAAATTGTAATATGGAATTCAAAAATCTGCTTTGGCCATTGCTGTACTGCATGTTCATTGTGCCTGCTTTCTCTGAGCCAAAAGACTCTCAATAGCTGGTCCTGTTTAGTTGGGAGAGACATAAAACTATGAGCCCGAAGGCAGGCGGGGGTCAGGGGGAAAATTTCTGTCTTCACCTCACTGATCAGAAGACAAACTTGCAAACACCAGCCCCTCTGGACACCTGGTCAAGGTGGTCGGTGTGAGAGGGTGGACAAACCAGCACAGGCCCATCACCACTTCTCAGAACAACTTAAACCTTGACCTGTTCAATTCCCAAGAAGAATGTCACTTGTGTGACCTTCACAAATGGAAAACAGCCTAAAACCAGTATCAGCCTAGGCTGTTCTATCTCAGAAACATTTTGTGTGACTCCTGTCTCCACCACTTACTCAATGAGGGACTTTATATAATCACTTACTCTCGGCTTAGGTTTCCTCTATGAAAGGGGACAATACTTGCCCTCTCAGACTGGTGTGAAAACAGTTCATGTGACAAGTACCTGGCAATGTCCAAGACAGAGCAAGCCTACAAAGCCCATTCTCCTTGCTCCCTGCTCAGTCCCATTCAGTGCTATAACTTTACAAAAACACAATTAAAGAATTTCAGTCTCATCACAGACTTTTTGCAATTTCTCTTTGCCTCCTCTGAATGCCCCCAGCACTCAACCTAACAATGTGTGTTGTCATACTTTATAGTACAATATTTGTATAAGAAAAGAAAAAAAATTTTTGAAAATCTTTAAGTTTTCACATAGATATAAAAACAGTATAAAATGACCAAAAAGAGCATGGCCTCACCCCTCAGTGAATATAAAACCTTGGGCAAGTTTAGTTTAATAGTAGGCTTCAATCAATCATAGCTTTTAAAATAGTAGCAACAACAAACATCTCTCTTACTAAATTGTAAAGTCCTTGAGGGTTGAGATCTCATTTATTCAACTTTATACTCTCCTAAAGGCCCTAGAAAACTGACTTGTGTATATTAGGAAAATGCTGAAAGGGATGATAAACAACTAGCTTGAAGGGCTTATCACTTTGAAGAGCTTAAAAGGCTGCTAAATTGTTATACAATTAAAAATAAAGAAATCAAAGTAGAGAAAGGTGGGATCCACTGCCTAGTGAGAACATAGTCACAATCTTTTAAATCTTTTTTAAATTAAAAATTTTTAATTATTATTATTTTTTAAATTTCTTGTCCTAGAGACAGAAGATCTGTAAGGTCTAGCTCTGTGATTCTGTGACCTCTGGCAAGTTAGTTTTTCTCTCCACACTTCGGTTTCCTTAACCAAACAAGGATGTAAAATAAAAAGTTTTCTAAAATCCCTTACAGCTCTAAAATTAGGTGTGCAAAATTTCTGCACACACTTGTGGCAAATTTCCTATGAGAAAGGCACTCTGCTAGGTAGACTGAGGGACAGGAGGGAAAAGAAACCCAGATCTGCCCTTCAATGAGCTCGTAGCTTATTTAACAATAAAAGACAGGGGACACAAATGACTGTAATTTAAGGCAGGAAGGAGTAGTGGCCATCAGAGAGATACTGACGTGGAACTTTCAGCTTTGGAGATGAAGACTGACACTATGGAGGGGTGGCATTTGTTCCTGTTTCAATGTAGTGAATATGGAGTGCCCAAGATGCCAGGCACTGTGCCTTAGCAAAGAAAACACAACACAACCATGAACAAGTAGAGCCCTGTCCTAATGGTGCCTGAAGGCTGCTGGCAGGGGGTACATATCTGGAGCAGGGGGAAGAATTCCCAGAAAAAGGATGTGTGAGCAAAGACAGGATAGCAGAGCATCACAAAGCAAGCAGGAAAGAGCCCACAGCTCTATCTGCACAGGTGAGGAGTGAACAGTAGTGTGCACAGGTAGGAGGCAGTTGATACAGAGCACCTAAAATGCCAGGCTATGGAGTCCGGGTTTTAATCAGTCCAAAAAAATAACCTAACAACTCTAAGTGACTGACTGTATATTAAATGTCACAGCATCACTGTTTTTGCATCCAAATACACTTTGTTCATACCATTTTCCAATGGTATAGATGTTCCTCAAACAATTACAGATATTGTAACTGTAACCATGTGACCCAGCTATTCCACTGCTGGGAATATACCCAGAAGAATGGAAATCATCATGCTGAAGTGATACCTGTACTCCAATGTTTACTGCAGCACTATGTACAACAGCCCAGAGTTGGAACCAGCACAAATGTCCATCATCAGATGAGTGGATAAGGAAACTGTGGTATATCTACACAATGGAATTCTACTCTGCTATAAAAAAAGAATGAAATACTACAATTCACAACAACATGGATGGACTTAGAGAAAATCATATTAAGTGAAACAAGTCAGACACAGAAAGAGAAATACCACATGTTCTCACTTATTTGTGGGAGCTAAAAATAAACAAACACACAAACAAATAAAGGGGGGGGGGAGAAGAGGACACAACAATCACAACAATTCCTTAAACTTGTTAAGACAAGTGAACAGATATGATGTAGTTGGGGTGGGGAGGGGAGAAAGGGAGGGGGAAAGAGGAATAGGTAAAGGGTCATGAAAATCAACTACAATGTATATTGAGAAGTTAAAATAAAAACAATAAATAAATAAAAAATAAAACAGCATTCAGTCAAGGCCCCTCCCCCCCAAAAAACAAAAAACATTCTCCAGTGGTAATCCACCACTCAGAGCAGTGGTTTTCAAGCATTTTTATAGCAGATATTATTTTCAAATAAATATCATATAAAAGCCTAATATCTACATATAGATATGACCAGTATTTTATTGGGACTAATTTACATTGTAAGTTCTGAATGTATAACTTTTATAAACCATTCAATGAGAAAATAACAGATAGTTTTGGTGAAATAAAATAATTCAAAATCATTAGTAATGCAATCGATCAGCATCATCTTGCTATTTACAAGGGTACTTCAAAAAGTTCATGAAAAAAAAAATAGAATGAAAAGATAATATATGCTCCAGGATTTAGGAATGGGCAATGACTTTTTGATTAACACCCCAAAAGCACAGACAACAAAAGAAAAAATAAACAAATGGGATTATATCAAACTAAAAAGCTTCTGTGCAGCAAAGGAAACAATCAAGTGAAAAGAAATCCTACAGAATGGGAGAAAATATTTGCAAAATATGCATCTGACAAGGGATTAATATCCAGAATATACAAAAAGCTCAGACAACTTTACAGCAAAAAAACAAATAATCCAATTTAAAAATGGGCAAAGGAGCTGAATAGACATTTCTCAAAGGAAGACATACAAATGGCCAACAGGTATATGAAAAAATGCTCAACATCACTAATCAAAAGGGAAATGCAAATCAAAACCACTTTGAGATATCACCTCACCCCAATAAGACTGGCTATTATAAAAAAGACAAAGAATAACAAACGCTGGTGAGGATGTGGAGAGAGAGGAACCCTCCTGCACTGTCAGTGGGACTATAAATTAGTACAGCCATTATGGAGATCAGTATGGAGGTTCTTTAAACAACTACAGATAGAACTTATATGATCCAGCAATCCCACTCCTGGGGATATATCCAGAGAATGGAAAACATCAGGTCGAAGGGATATCTCACTCCCATGTTTACTGCAGCTCTATTTACAATAGCTAGGCAATGGAACCAACCTAAATGTCCATCGATGGATGACTGGATAAGGAAATTGTGGTATATGTACACAATGGAATACCACTCAGCCATAAAAAAGAATGAAATTCTACCATTTGCAACAACATGGATGAGCCTGGAGAAAATTATCCTAAATGAAACAACCCAGGTACAGAAAAAGAAATACAGCATGTTCTCACTCATAACTGGGAACTGAATCCATAAATAAACAAATGAACAACAAAGAGAGATAGAAAGAAAGAAACAACAATCACAGTAATACACTGAACTTTTAGAAAACTAGAGGTGGAAAAGGAGATGGGGGTGGCTAATGAGGAATTGGTCAACGGACACAAAGAATGATTGCGTACTATAATGATGAATAAGCTAACTATACTGATCTAATCACCACACATTGTACACAATTATTGAAAATCAACGTTGTACCCCACATGTATGTGTAATAAAAAATAAATTAAAACAAAAACAAACAAAAAAACCAAATACACTTTGTTTTTTGGTAACAAAAAAAAATGGCTGAAAGAAAATTCAAAAAAGTAATTAATTTAAATAAGTTTATTTATGAGAAAAAAACATCTGAACATCAGGTACAGTCTGATCCACATGATCCAACAGTATGTCATAACTCATCCTGGGAGTACTCTTATGCAGTCTGTAAGAGAAATTCCACGTGGAGCATCAGCTGAACATTTATTTATCAAAATTCATAAAGCCATCTAACCTGAATATACACATTACATAATGACCATGATACAGTAATAAAAATACAATATTGAATACTCACTACTTTGTGAGTTGCAAACCACAATATAAACAATTTATATCCCTTTCTAAAAAATGAAAAAATATTTCTATTACAGCCTTATTTCAAACATTTTCAGTTAGATACAGCTTTATATATTTTCACTCACAATAGATAGCAAAAGAATGTCTCCTTAAGTATCTATACGTAAAATATATGAGTTGTTTCAATGTTTACACTTTAAAGTATACTTTGACATATATGAGTCCAGATAAGAGAATGAAACCTTTGCTGTGGCAAAAAACCTGGCTGACGACCAAGACTTGCATAGCTTTCATATTTGGTTAAAAAACTTTGCATCATAGAAGAAAGAAGCAAGGACATAAAGAGAACCATCATTCTTTTTCAATGAAGCAGTCTAATTCCAGAGAATGGGCCTTCCATTTTGAATTCAAAGTGTGTGGTCCTGAAGTAGAATTCTTTCCAGTCCATGGAGCTGCCTGCACTGTGAGGCAACACTTAATAATGAAGGGAGTTAGTTGGAAAGTGTTAACTGAACTACAGAGATGGTCACTGATAAAACAACTTCCTAGAAGTCCTGGGCCCACTCAGGGGTGAAGGGCAGCCAGAACTATCAATACAAAAAAAAATGTGCTCACTGAACTGCACACATAGAGCTTCTAGGAGGGTTAACAGTTCTTGACATAGGTTCCTGGTTGTAGTTTACAATATCTGCCTTCACCACCCTCTGTCATAAAAGAAAACAAAGTTATTATCAAGACATCAGAACATTTAGAAAGAGCTCCTTAAGTATATTTTTATTTTCTGAACTTCAGTGAACTCCTGATGATAGACATCATAAATGAGACGGGAGTTGATATTAAAAGAATCAACAGAACAAACTAATGGGGGGGGGGGGTTGTTTGTTTTAAAGGAGGCAATGACAATTCAGTTCAGTTCAGTGAGTCTTCCCTGGTTTTATGACATTAACTTGAGGTTATCAGAAGCCTCATAAAAAACTGATAAATCAATATAAAGAATTAAACCCTCTTTATAATTTAAAACAAAGGAACTAAAATTAGTCATTCATACATATTTTAATTTGTGGATAAGACTTCATCATTTCAAAGTAAAAAATGTCTCTATTTATTAGTATTTCCATAAGCCATTACACTTAGCATGACTTTTCTTAGAATGTTTACAGCAGTTTGTGAGTCAGTGAGAAGAGATACAAATGTTCAGGAGGACTCACAAATAAAGAAGACTCAGAAATGTTTTGAACAACCAAATTTTTAAAACTTTCCTCACAAATCTCTAATTTACTTCCAAACAGCTCACTGTTAGGTTATGAAAAACAACTCTAACATAATATGGTATATGAGAAATTTAGAAAATTACTTCATATTCATGTTTTTGAAATAATTTAAACCAAAAGACACTTTTAACTCTTCACTCTTTTCCTCTACCCCAAGGAAGGGAATATCTGAAACAATAAATTTAGCAGTATGCCCTAATATTCATCTCTAAGTAATAATTTAAGTTAAGACAAATCCTTTACTGTTTTCAACTCTTTTACTAAGTCTGCACACATAAGCAGACAAAGAAGGGTAATTCAAGGCTAATTTTAAAAATGCTCTTTCAATTACTAGGCTATTTCAGGAAAAATAGTAAGGAATGAATAATGAAATAACTGCCTCAATTCTCCACTTCACTGCACCTATAATAAACACAACCATAAAGAGAAATATGTTTGAAAGTAACTGACATGTTATAATTTGTTCTTAATTTCTTATTTAATTCATAAGTCTCCTGGCAAAGGACCAATTTTTCAAAGATCTGAAATAGGACTTCTGCAATATTAATCTCCAATAATATACAATAATCATCTGAACTTCCCTATTCATAAGAAATAAAGAACAAAATAGCATTCACTGGTTCTCCCCTCCCACCCCTCCAAATTGCAACAATTTATCCATTAATACCTGTACTACTGTACTGCACAGATTCTACTCTGAGCAGAGCTGGTATGTTGATTATCTTCTTCTGGGTACTTCACTATTTCTGCCCTGACAATATGCTGTCAATTCCATACAATGTAAGCAAGACAAAGAAGAAAGAATGAAATTTTTTTAAAAAGACAAAACGGAAACTATGTTCAATGACTGAAAATAGAAGTAAACACAGAAGTAGAAAAAGGAAATTAACACATAAATTTAAACATGTCATAAAATAGCAGAATGTACTCATAGAAAAGGAAAGAAAAGGAACAAAGACCAAAGAAACATTATTCTTTACAATTCCATTTAATTATTGAAATAAATATGTCCACTGAACTTCCCAAATTGTGAGTTCTATTTTTGATATTATAATTACATATAACATATATAATGCCCAGTATTTCAGAAGACTATGGAGAATGATGGGGCTTTTCCATGCTAAAGTGCAGTAAAAATATTAATTCCATTTCCTTTGACAGTCACTCTAAACTGAAAATGTATGGATGAATTATACAGGATCTATTCGTAAGTTGCTGTGAACTAATAGGAAGAGAAACACCTACAGAACTAATTTGCATAAAAGTTAACTGCTTTACTACTGAACTTATGCTGTATGAACACAGAGGAGTAATTATCTTTCAAGGTGGAAAGCGGAATGAAGAAATCAGAGGAAGCTATATGCCATTTGTATTTTTTATATTGAATAATATTTATTACTTGTCCAAGACTTCCTTTTGATGGTCACTCCCCCATGTCTCCCAACCGTAACTTCCATGCTTCCAAATTCCATATAGGAAAAAACAAGTTCATTGGGCCAGCCCGGTGGCACACTGGAGAGTGCGCCGCTTGGGAGCGCGGCGGTGCTCCCGCCGAGGGTTCGGATCCCATGTGGAGACGGGTTCCCGCTCACTGGCTGAGAGCGGTGCGGGCGCAACACTGCGGGTTGCGATCCCGTTACCGGTCAGTAAAAAAGACAAAAAGGGAAAAAAAAAAAAAAGAAAAAAAAACAAGTTCAAAATGCAGTTGTGAGTCACATTAAAAAAAAAAAAAATCACAAAATATAGTATTTAAGTACAACAGCTGTTGCTTTCAAATATCTGCTTTGCTAAATAAAGAATCAAAAATACATTGTCATGTATTTAATTGCTATAAACCTTAGGATAAGAAGACCACATGGGACAAACATGTAAGACCAAGATACTATGCTCCCCAATATTTTTAGATTTGAAACTATGGTGGCTTTTCTATATGGTCGTTTATATTTCAGAAAATCCTTCCTTCATAAAGCAACTACTAATTTATTAACATATACAAAAAAATAAATTAATATGGAATGCTATTTGTGATGACATTTATAAATAAAGTTCAGTAAATGAGAGCAAATGAAAGGATGCTAAGGTATATGAATGTATTCTCCTTGGGTGGGTTCTGCTTAAGTTCTCTAGCAAGTATTGACTTTTGGACAAGATTCATGATTTACTAGGCACTCAGCATGCTGCTATCAACAGAAGCATTACCAACTGCCAAATGAGGAATGAGGGGGGTGCATCAGTGAAATGTTGTATGACATTATCTGACCTCTCCAAACCTCCTGATCATTTCATACCGAACTATGCGTTACAGTGAAGAGAAGGACTTTTCATAATCAGTAAGCAACTCATTAATCCAAGAAAATGTTGGTTTAAACCCTATCCTATAAACACAACCAGGTTACTGACCTGTGCTCAAGACATTTTGGTCAAAGCACTGACAAACGTAAATGAATTGGGTTTTCATCATCTATTTTCATCAAATTAATGAAGAATTAACAAGGCAGCATCTTTCTCAGAGGCCTTGACTGTTTTACATAAAGCTGTGTACAGTGTTTCCCAACTGAAAGCCATAACCAAAGCTCTGCAGATTAAAAACTTTACTTTCTGTGAATAGAAAAACAATTTCCATGTCAAGTAGTTCATAGTATGTGGTTTCACCATAGTTAGCTTGTTTACAAGCCATTTACTGATACTTTCAGGAAAAAATTTTACCTACAAAACACCGAGCTTTATTTTTGGAGCACAAAGAACACTCAATTATACTCTGCTATTAGTCAACGATGTGAAAATAATGAAGCAGCCCTAAAAGGAAAGGAGCTCAACTCTGATTTTTGTCAAATAGCATTTTCAAGTGGATACTGGAAATGGAAGTGATAGTTCTCCAGTGCGGAAACAAGAAAGCAAGTTAGGAGTTGTGGTAAAAAGGTATAAGTATAAATGGGATCTTGGGGAGACACTAAAGGTAAGTTTGGTCAATTGTGCCAATTGTGCTTTAATCCAGATGGGAGTAACATAATTACCTCTGTAAAAGCCATAGTTTGTCATGTCCAGGATATGATGTAAACACACCCTGAAGGCTAAAACATATGTCACTATAATTCATTCAAAGCCAATCACTATTTTAGGTATTGTAGACATTTAGATAAATACTGCATAAGAAACTAACATGGAAAACAGAAAACTATTAAAGAACATTCTGATTGATATATATTCAAGTGTAACAAGATTGTAGATTACCATCTAAAGCATGCATATAGCATGTTAAAAAGCACAACACTTTGTACATAGTTGGGGCTTAAAAAAGCTTCTCCTCCTTTTCCATATATATATATATATATATATATATAATGGGCCATTATATGCTGCCAGTAACATTCATAACTTTGAACAAGTTATTTCACCTCTTCAGTCTTCACAATCTCCTAATATATAAAATACAAGGTTTACCTACATGGTCTCTAAGGTCCCACTTGGTTTTAAAATTTTATAGAAAAATAAATTTTAAAGGTGAATAAGAAAAAGAAAAAAATGGAATATGATATGGAAATCCATTAAGCAATGCTTGACATCTGAGGGTTAGAATGGTATGTACAAAATTAGTAAATATGTTCTTCAAGGAAAATAAGTGGTGTTCAGGATAAGAAAGAAATCCTCGTACAGTGTCCCACGTGGCACCAGGGCTCAGTCTTAGGCCCTGGAGGGAAGCTCCCACAGCCACCAAGGTGAGCCGAGACCCACGTGGCACCAGGGCTCAGTCATAGGCCCCAGAGGGAAGCATCCACAGCCACAGCAGGTGCCGAGGTGAGCCAAGACCCGTGTGGCACTGGGACTCAGTCTTAGGCTCTGGAGGGAAGCACTCATAGCTGCAGCAGCTGCTGAGGTGAGCCGAGACCCCCAGGGCACTGGGGGCTCAGCCTACAGCCACAGATTCCAGAACAGGAGCCAAGGTGGTGTAATACAGTCACTGCCACACCCACTGTCACCTCAAGGATAGTTCACCACCACAGTACCAGCCAGGGCCTCTACACAGGCAACCTGCCGCTCACTTGACTACATTAATATAAGAAGAGTCACCAGTAGAGCCTGCAAACAGAGGAAGAAATCTTTATCTTCATAGCCAACCCCAGAGAAATAGAAGAAGCAAGTCCTTTACCAGATGACCAAACATCAACAAAAAAATACTAGAACTACAAACAAACAAGAAGACATGACACCACCAAAGGAAAACAGAAATGATCAAATTTCAGACCCCAAAGAACAGGGAATCCTTGAAATGTCTGAAAAGGAATTCCGATCAATGATCTTAAGAAAACTCAAAGAGATAAAAGAAGACTCAATTAGAGAACACAATTAAACAAGAAAAAGTATCCAGAATATGAAGGAGGAAATTTATGAAGAGATTAATACCTTTAAAAAGAGTGTAGCAGAACTCCTAGAAA